AAAAATACCTTTTTTAATACCTCATCGATATACTCAGACCGCTAGTAATAATATTATGAAGTAGACTAATTTAATTTTCACAGCTAAATTACATATTATCCAAAAATATTTCTTCGGAAATTAACACCTGTGATCACCGGTTTTTTTCTTATAAGCAACAATTTAAAATTGTATTAGATCTTAATTTATTACTAAAATGTTTAATTCAAAACATTTTGTATATGACCGTATATTAAATCAATATCCACACTTTAAAAACAATTTTACATTWTAATTTACAAATGTTTGTAATTTAACGCATGGAAAACAATACATTACAAATGCAGTATAAATAATTTAAGTACACAACGTTAAAATTCATATCAATTATTTGAAATGCGTATTTATATCAGGAATGTTCAAATATTTAAAATTCAATGTTAAACGTTAATTTCTAGTTAGTATAAATTAAAAAATTAAATAAATATAGTGATAATGTGTAACCCTAAAATAAAACATTGATTAAGTGTTAAAATATTATATTAGGCATAATACCACGTCAATACCTATAACAAATATTAATAATTTACATAAACAAATAATAGGAACAACCGATGGATGTATTGTGCGATGTAATAATATTTTCAACACAAATTACTAAACCATTAGGTAAATAATATCAAACAGAGCGATTCATTAAGCACGTCAAATAATTAAATGATGTTGGCAAATGGGATGATTCAAACTTACTAGTTAATACTCTACTATATGAAAAAAACTAACCTATAATATATATTTAAAGAACCATTTGGTATGYAACACTTAAATACTGTTTTTAAGTATAAAAGATTTTTTTTTACTTTCAGAACATACAATCTGGTGCATTCTTGGGCCTCAAAGCACAACACAAATTATGCGATACAAATTATTATTAATAGAAACTTGAAGAATGAAGCCACCCATTAATGCAATTTCTAAGTAGATTACTTGTTTCATTTTTTTTTTTTTTTAAAGGTAAATTAAATTATTGTTACCATAAAAATATTATAGTAGGTACATACAATTAAAACATAATATTTARAATAGTAAATTCTTATGGATTTTTACTCAGTACCTCTACTGTTGTAAAAACGTTATAATATAATACTTAATGGGTAAATTATAAATTGTWTAACTATCACAGTCTGTAATAAAATTTTTCATAATAAAATGAATAAACATTGATGGAATATACCAGATATTTTTGATAGCTATAATACAACATAACGCCTTCCGAAAGACTCCCACATGGAAATCGATATAAATTCAATGAGTTTGATCACTATAAATAATAATATAACACCACCGTTCACAATTTTACATTATAGGTATTCTAGGGTAAGCCAACTCACACACGTGTTATGTACACATTAACAATGGGAACACGGCTATTATAACATTTTTCTCAATTTTATATAATTATAATAAATGCTGAACGTATAATATTGGTTATCAAAACACATTATAAGTTACACAAACATTAAATAATTACATCCACGATTTCGGTCACCATCAGACCCCACTACAAATACTTAMATTTTTTTTATATGGATGATTAGCTCATATTTTATATTTGTACCTTTAGTTAAATGGAACTTAGTGTAAAAGAAAATAAATATTAMAATTATTTAAATATAAACGATGTTGTTAGCAGACAAAATTGGAATTGTTATTAATTATAGTAYTTGTTTTAAGATATATTTTATCTTAAAATAAAACTATTAAATAATGATTTTTAATTTGTATGCATAATTAATTTCACATTTTTACTTTTCAATGGTTTTTGTTTGAAAACAAAAATTAATTAATTTTATCTCTAAATAAATAAACATAAACCATAATCCTTATATTTATTATGATAATWAAACAAATTTTTAGCGAACTACATTACAATGGCATAATCATTAATTTATTGGTTCACATGTAATGACTATTGAATACATGTTCGGTACCTTAGTTTTTTTCCGATTTAGAACCGACAGCAGAAGAGGGTCTGTTTGCACAAAATTTCTCCTACATGTTAGGTACCAACCATATTCAGTWTATAAATTTTACACTTTAACACTTACACTGGGGTTCAAATCGTTACAAAAATATCGGATTCGCAAGTAGTTGAAAATATGTTAATTTTCTTTCGAACTTAATACGATTTTTTTCTGATGTTAGGTGAGGTGACAATTTATAATGTATCTTTACTTTTAAACAATTTAGATTAATACCAAAAGCATCACTAATAAGTATCCAAATAAGTATCTAATACCTGTTAAAATATACAAGAAAAATTAAGATACATATTGATTAAAAAATAACAATAGTTAAATGACCGTCGAATATAAATTTATTTTTAAACTGTATAAATAAATTATTATTGTTATTAAAAAAAATCAATTGTAGTAAAATATTAACTTAAGTCATACAAACTGCAACTACTTTTAACGATTTTAGTATTGAATTCGATTCTAAATTATCTTTTAACAAGCATATGAATTTAATAGGAATAAAAAATTCCAAAAACTGGACATGCGGGGACTTTTTCAAGATCAAATATTGCATCAATCTCATAAATTAATCACCCTTAAATTTACAATTCATTACAATTTTAAAATATTATGTACCTTCCATTCCCATTCCATAAAAAACAGAATTCTACATTCCGATTAATAAGAGGTTTGAAGGTTTCAGATTTTATTGGCTTATACTAATATTATTATTTATTAAAAAAAATCGAATATCCTTTTTAAATATTTTAATTATTAGCCTATAATTACTAGAACCAAATACCGGTATAATATTAAATTTAAAATAATATCGGGAGGCCAGTGTTAAAAATTAGTCCCTCCATAACCAGTTTTCCAGAAGTTACACACTGGTATTTCGCAATAATGACATTTGAATAAGAAGGCTTATTGAATATTTTAATTAAATATTAATTAATAGGTAAGTATATTAGTTATAAAATTGAAAGTTTTTTCTTATCATTCGTATTTAATACTATTTTTCTAAAATTGTGTACCATATCATTATTATAATTTCTGGTAGCACTAATATAGTGGAGGGAGGAAGAATAATTTACAAAATAATATAAATTTAATACTTATCCACCATAAAGTCTTACGGTATTATCATTTTAACGTATTTTCTAAAATGTTTCAATTGTGTTGTAGTATAAAAAWTATTAAGGCAAAATAAAGATTATACAAAAGTTAAGTGTATAAAATAATACATACTTTTCCTATTGTAAATGTTAAAATATTAAAAATATATTCGGTAAATAATGATAATTATTATTATTAGTGTTTGATGTGCTTTCCAACAAAACATTATTCATCTGATTGTAGAACAGTAAAACATTTACAATTAATTTATGCACGGAAAAAATATGCATAGTTACAGATTGATAAAACGTCAATAAAATATAGGGTTATACTTGGCTTGGACGTATTTCGCATTTGACACGTCTTAGCCACTAAGATAGGTAGTCTTAGCCACTAAGATAGGTACTTTGATAACAAGGAGATACGCATGCGACTCTATACACAAATTATATTATTATTCTGTATTTACAAACGGCTGTCGTTCTTAATGCATAACTAATGACGTATTCAAAAGCACAATAATAAGATAAAAAAGACAGTATATAATATGCTCAATTCGACGGAAACCCCTATAAGCGAGTCGATATGAATTAATTCATACCACATGAACGGTTTCAGCTCGTGTAGAACAAGGAACGAGCTGACAAATCGGCGTGTGGGTCTGTGTGTTGTGCGTGTGGTGGTGTCGGTATGATGGTCGTCCTCGTCATTAGACGTTTCAAACTTTGTAAGATACGAAAGACAAATAAAATACTATCGGCAAATATCAATAATTTAAAACCATCAGTTCTAAAAATAATTAATYAGGTGCACGAAAAATAAACAGGTAACGCATTGTTATTTATATCCCCAATAWTATACAGGTATCAGATTAAATTTTACCTGAATATTCCGGGTTACTTTTATCGATTTGATTTCAAAGATAATGTAATTAGGTATCTACTCAATACATAAAAGCTTGTTAGAATTGTATTCAATATTTAACTTTTACTAAATTTAAAATAGTTCGAACGATAACGACGATATACAAAAACATCATTATAATTTAAATTCATTAACGGTGAAGTACCTTCTCATTATTCCACCAAAATAATTATGGTTAATTAATTTCAAGTACCTGTAAATATTAAATACAATTCACGATTATTTACATTTTTACATTTTACCGTTAAATTGGAGTTTTGTACATCAGAGGTAGCAAGGAACTAATACAACCAATAAAATATTATAATATTACAAAGGTGAATACCTATTTCATTACTCTTTGAACTCTGGCCAAAATCGGCAAAAGCGACCTTGGAATGCTAAAAACTTAAAAAAAAAACAAAAACAAATATAATGGAAAAAACAAATCAAGTCTTTTGAGCGAACTACTTACATTAATTTACACAAGATAAAGTAAACTTTAAACGGTAGTAATCAAATAAAGGATCGTTAAATAGATAAAAAGTATTTCTTGATTAACATTAATGTCAGTAATTGTACTAATACATTCGGTGTGTAGGCACGTTAGAGAAATTTTTGATAATAATAGTATTTTAAAAGCAAGCAAATTCAACGATACAAGGAATATTTTTCTTTTATAARCCACGTATCTATTTTTTTGTAAGTAGGTAACACATTCAACTCGGATCATTTTAGTGTCTTTRTGAGTATTATCAGCTGCACAAATACCAAGACAATAATTATTTTTATTTTTTTTTAAACCATTACACAAAATTTTTTATAACACCTATCGCAGTTAGATATTTTAATATTACAAAAAATACCTTCAAGAACGAACAGAATAAAAATGAAAAATTACGAATGTGTGTTTTAAGTGTTTCGGTTCGCAAATAATATTTATGTACAAAAATAACATTACAACGTGATGAAATGAAAACTTACCAATTGTAGGCGAGAAAGTGGCGGGAAATGGTYGAGATTTGAAAAAAAAATATTTCTAATCTCATATCGTCTACAAGTAACGACAACAACAGCAACACGATGAAAGATTGATCGACATCGACCAAAATCGGCAATTCGCGGTATTCGCGAAGAAAATGCTGTTGGGAAATCAGCGATACCTGTTGGTCGTCGGTATTGCGCGGGAAACGTGACCGTAGAACGTGACGAAGTGGCGGTGGTTACGTCCGCCGCGGAGAGGTAAACTTCGAAAAGCCAATTCGAGAAACGATTTAATTTCGATAGAACAGAGACGGACAGAGAAACTGATCGATGGACCGTAGACGGCGGCTACTACTACCGTACTACCGTAGTACCGTACCGAGTGTCGCGCGCGCGTTCGGTTATTTCTGGACACGGAAATTTCGAACTCGTAACGAGTTTTTGAAAAAAAAAATCAAAAAAGACTTAACGTGCGCGGACTACGATCGGCGTACGCGGAGAGGTGACGGCCGACGGTGCGACGGATAAATGAAGAGAAGAAAAGTTAAGTGGGAAACGACGAAATGATAGTAACGAAAAAAAAAACTGAAAGCGTCGCGGAGCGCCGGCGTGTGCAAACAGCGCGCCAGACGAAAAGACTGTGCTGAAAAATGCCCCCGAGCGCGAAGAAGAACCACTTTGTGCCACCCGGGACTGCAGTAGTGTAGTGTTGCCAACACCACCGGCACACACGGCGCGCATTACGCACGCACCAGCAAATGTGCCGCCGTGATCGCGCGCGCGCAGTACGGTTCACCACGCATTCTACACACACGAGCACCACACAACACACACACATAAACACACGCACATGGGAATGGTGACGTCAAGACCGGCGCCCGTTTCTTTGCGGGTGATGAGGGTGGGCGGGGGTGAACTTTTTTCGTTATTCCTTTCGTATAGTCGTCTTCGGACACAATAATTCGAAGTCCTAAATCGGTTATTGGCTTGTTTTGCACATCCAATGTCTTACGTGGTTCGAAATACCGTCAATATTAAATAYTTATTTCGTAAAATTAAAAACCATTTTATTTAAAATTTTAATATTATAGTAAAGATAAACTTATGTATTGCCGTATTGCATATATTTATGTATTTCGTCAAAACTTTTGTAAGTGTGTACAATATGTATGTTGTATACTTTTAAAATTATATTTATTTATGAATACCTATGTAAATTTTTTCTTTTCATGTTCCTATATTATAGTATATTGTATTGTATGTAAGTTATGATTATTTTGAATGACGTCGTAGGCTTTGTGCATTGAAATTTCATTAATTTTATTAGTGTTATATTATGTGCAGTGTATTGTATATTCTACACAAAAATCAGCTTAAAAACTGCTCTTTTCTCACGATAATTTAGCCATGGCCCATGGCCTATGGTACTATGTATGTCTGGCACATAGTATTATAACTTATAGGTTGTTTCTTTCGAAGATTTTCTGAACCTATAGGAACTCTATTCACACCATAAATGCACTAACCTAACATAAATATATTTAACAATTACGATTAATTACTCAAGGAGTTGTAAAATTGAAAACATTATTATCCGTGTTATGTGATATATCAGTATCATGTAATATTCATATGTGATGACTCCCTTATATAAATATATAATATTGTCATAATTGTCTATTTGTGGTAAATTCACATGAACCTTAAAATGGTAGATTACATAGTATACAAACTGTACCACATCGCATAATATAAAAAACTCAAGGAATCAATTCGAATGTAGATAATACAAGGATGGTATTATATAATATAACGGGAAATTCGGATGCAATTCTCTCGTACTTTATCTTAGTACCTATTATAGGTATGATATATCATATTTGTACAGCAGGTGCTGCTCATTTGAAGTGGTTTCTTTAAGTCGTCGAAAATCAACAGTTACTGCATCTTGAACAACGACCGTCAACGGGGATCCTGATGATGATAGTTTATTAAGTCAGTCATTGTCATAATATAAGTCATCCTTCGCAACGGGCGGGTTCCGACAAGCTATCAGCTGAGCAATTCCGTCACGACTTATCGTTTAGTTACAATATCGAATAAGTACCTATATTATAATTTTACTAGGTATCTATGTCACATGAAAAAATGAATAAAAATAATCCTAGGCAAATCCAAATCGATTACTTCAAATAAATTATATTTCGTACTATTACGAGTACTAGATTACTTGAGTACTTGACATTGAAAAATTATAAAATAAACAAGATTTATGTTATATCTTTAAAACAAACTCGATAAAATATGTACTAAAAAGTAAAAATCAACTTTACAACACGAAAAAAATATTTATCGAAATATCATTAATTTAATAATTTAATAAGTCCCTGTAGACATGACCTCATGTTGATCGAAGAATAAATTTCCTAATHATKTTAATTTTAAATATTAAACTAATAAATTGCTTTAACAATATTATCTATAGAAGAAAAGAGAGAAAAAATTAAAATGATATATTTACCTACCTATGCTAAATTTAAAACCTTAAATCCTTAAATTTATGAATAATTTTCCACTCAAAATGATCTTATTTCAATATACCTATTGTTTTTAAAAAATTTATAAAAACGTTTCTTTTTATATTTATATATTTTTTTTTATTATTATTTTGAATTCGTTTATTATAATCATATGATTTAGACAAGTACACTAATACAGTAACTAATACTAAGTACCTACACTAACCTCTTAGCACACTAAGAGGTTTTACCTCAGTGGAGAGTAATACTATATAAACATCTTACCTGTGATCAATATTTAATTCTAGCAATGAAAATTATTATTATTATTATTATTATTAAATCGTAATTGCGTTATCACACGCCGCCTTCGTCGTTGACGTCGCGCGCAAACAATTCACACCAATTCTCTACTGGCGGTGGCGTGTAATTTTATTGTTTTCGTGTAGGTCATAGAGTAATGGTATATATACGGTACACGATTCGGAATCACGTAAACGGGAAAACGGTTTTACTCACGAGTCGCGATACGTGACATACAAACGATTGTGGTGACGTCTGATTTTTTTTATAGCAAAATCGAGGAACGAAAAAGTGCGAGTAGAAAAAATATTAATAATGTGACTTTGCTGTGAGGAGGTGATGGATGCCGCAATATTGTTATGATCATAGGCGCAATTTCAATAAAAAAAACCAAGGGTGCTTATGCTATGCATTTTGTCATTTTAGTATTTTTTTTTGAAAAAAAAAAGTTTTTGATACATAAGCACAATCATTATTTGAAGGTGCTAATTTTAAAATTGGGGGTGCTAATATTTGCGCCAATAGTTATGATACACAATCTAATATTGATTGTCGTCTTAAGTTGTTACATAACAATAGCATATTATATTGTACGTATACTAAACTTTCGAGTTGCCACTGCGATCAAGTTCTTGTGTTTTGTGCACGATTCGATGTAAGATGGATTAACGTTGAGATTTATCAAACGATATAATCATAACAGTATTATAAATTATATTACTGTAGRWACTACAACATATTTTTCAACATCGCAATTACARTTATTATGGTGAGTTAATGAACTTTTCACTTATTGTCACTATTTAATATTATTTACGATTTATCTTAAATTTATAAATAATTACTTTTCATTAAAAAAGCGGATAATTATTTTCCAGGAAAAAAATGGCGAAATACAAAATCAATTCCCACGATACAACCCATGGAGTTTGAATTTATATAATGCCGTTTAAATACGTTTATTTCAATATTTATTTACGTTATTATTAATATTATGATTGATTTGTTTTTCATTAAAGAATAAAGATACATACAGTACAAMTATTGTACTATGGTACAACTATTAATAAAGCCATATAGTAACAACTTGTACTTATAACCTAAAGGGGTGGGAATACCATCATCACTCCGGGAAACTGATATAATATTATCGTTCCAATATTACGTAGTCGTCTTAAATCCTCCAGCAATTTTTATAAAATACATAATTTCAGGCTCTAATTCTTGGAGTGACTTATTTAAATTGTATTTTAAGTTCGATATTCTATGCAAGAACGTAAAATTACATATAAAAACGTAATCGTTAATTTCGATTGTTCTTAATAAAAAATATCAAATCTCCGATTTGCAATAATATTACAGTAATTACGGTCTTGCAGTATATATCGACCTTATCGCTATACATATAAAGCACCCTGGCCAATCCACAATAGAGTACGACATGTTCACATGTTCATACATATTTAATAGAATATTGTGTGACATTAAATAATATATTATATATAAACAATCGATTTCTTAAATAAACGTACATAAATTACTACAGGGGGAATAATATTTTGCAACCTTATATCATTGTACCTATTAAATATCAAGATATTATGGTTTTTTTTTCCGTTTTCGAATTTTAATTGATTTTAAATACTCTCATCATTAAATACGTAACAAATACGTGCATGCATATCCCATTATCCCATACATCAAACCTTGATAATCGCTTTCTACTCACAATCTCAACAGTTATACACGTTAATTAGTACTTGGTGTTTGCCAGTGATTGGCGATTGCAACCGATTCGACACGACCGTCGTCAATCATAATAATATTATGAGTAACAAGTACAACGCTTCTACAGTGCACATAAGACCTGTATTTATTCATGGGTCGATGTGTTTGAAATTCGAACTAGTATCTCATATTATTCATATTATCTTATATATTATGGTGTATGACAAACGCACAAATCTGATAAACGATAAAGTAGACAATTTCCCAAGGTTCTTAACCTCGTCCGTATTGCTATGCAAATTGTTTTATGAAACGCATTTTGAGACACAAATGGGATTTGCATTTATACGTCGCCGTRGTTATATCAGTAAAAAATCACAATTGTCACCATTCTAGGTGCATTTAAATTGTTCCCGAAACTTATGCAGCAATTATTATTATATTATATGTATTTTACAATAAATATCCTCTGTACGTATATCGCCGAAATAATACCAGCCGTTTATCGGGTTGTTAGATCGCAATAATTTACAATCTTATTACAAAACGCTCATTATTGCATACAAAATATGAGTTACCGAGCAACGTTTTGACACATTATATATTATTTTGTTGTCGTTCAGTAACACCGCGGCGCATTTATAATAAAAGGGGTTTAAGCGAGTGATGGTATATTCTACCTTGAACTCGTGTATTATAATAGTTTACMTATACATACCGTAATTCTGTTATTCCAACAGAGGCGCGTGCAAGCTGTAGAAATCGGGAAACATTTATACGAACATCGCACACATTAAGCATGGAATTCATATTCTAAAAACACGTGATTTGACATCGCGGACGTATAATACATACGTATATTATACATATATATGGCGTCGGTGATGTTTTCAAATGTTGTCGAAACATCCCGGTTAGGGTTTGTGTCTAAAAATACTGTATCTGAGAGCGGGGCATAATGGTTTTAAATAACAATCATAATAGTAGCTTCATCTTTGTACGAGTAAGCACAATATTGCACTGTAAGTAATCACTATATACGCCATTATTATGAACTTTACGATTTGACAATATAGGTTTGGTATAGATACAAACTTACCGTATATGCTAATCTTGGGTTGC